TAAACATAAATACACATCAAGCCAGTATGTGGACTTTCTTATTGTAGAATCAGAAACCGCGAATTGAGGAAATCATTATAAGAACACAAGTTAATAGGGAGTCTAAGGAATTAGATGTTTGGTTTCTGGTACATCTGAGGGTCCTTAGGTTTTTTAACCAGGTGTTAACATCTCCAAGATGTGCCAGGAAAGTTCATTGAGGTCTAAGGTTGCGTGGCTAACTCTCTGGTGATCACTGGGGCAGTGAGCTCTTGATGGAATGTCTGTCATGGTGGAGCCGCAGGCAAAGCATAAGCCATTTTGGAGACACAAATGCTGACTCCAGCATACACTTTCCACACTAAGTTGCCTTGACCTATACCTACAGCAGACAGAGATTATTAGGGATTTAGTGAAAAGTCAGGGCAGACCTAATCTTTTAGTGGTATCCTTCCTCAGAGGCTCACAACTTCAAAGTTTAAAAAATGGTAACTGTTGGGAAAAAAAAAGTATGTTTCTCTTTTATACCTGTAATTGATTCTCACAAATACATATTGTTTAAATTTAAATCTTAAGAAGTTATAGGCCCTTCAATTTCTTGGTTTACACTTCTACATAAGGGTATACATTTTGGCTGTTATTGCCGGCATCTCATGGTCACCCGGCAGGGGAGCCACCATGATTACGAAGGTGGTTTTCCCAGGGCGAGGCTTATCCGTTGCAGTCCCGATATGCTGACCCCTGTGATGTCCCCAAATGTGGGAAACTCAGCTGCATAATTTGTGGTAATGGGAGACTACATTCATGCTCTCCCCTGAAAAAAGAGGAAAGAAGGCATCTTTTCATCAGGACAGCAAGCCAAGTGATCAAATCCAATTAACCCAAGTTAATTATTAAAACACAACAATTTTATTAAAACTAATTGAAAATCTTTCAATTTGATTTTGTGTGTGTGTGTGTGTGTGTGTCTGTGTGTGTGTGTGTGTGTAGAGGGCCTACTACGATCTCAAGGACCAAATAAGTACTTAATATTTTAACTATGTAAACATCTTTATAGAGAACAAATCCTTGCCCACAAAAAATTTAATCTGGACTACTGCCTTGGTCAACTTGGGCTGCCATCACAGAACTCCCTAGGCTGGGTGGCTTAAATAACATTTATTTAGTTTCTCACAGTCCTGGAGGCTACAAGTCCAAGACCAGGGAGCCAGCACAGTCAGCTTCTGGTGAGGCCCTTTTCTTGGCTTGCAAATAGCCTTCTTCTTGCTGTATCCTCACACGATGCAGAGAGACAGCTCTCTGGTGTCTCTTCTTATAAGGACACTAGTCCTATAGTATCAGAGCCCTACCCTTATGACCTCTAAGGTAATTCATCTTAGTTACTTCTGTAATGGCCCCATCTCCAAATGCAGTCACATTGGGGGCCAGGGCTTCAACATATGAGTTTGGGGGGAAAAGAAATAGTCCATGAAAACCATAGCACTTCCTCTGTCACTATATATTAGAAAAAAGTTACACATAAAAGAGGAAAAAGAAAAGAATACACAAAGAATAGTATGAGAAAACACATAGATAAGTTGCTGTGGATGTTTAGATGAGAAAGGTACTATTTTTAGAAAACTGTTCATGGAGAATTCAGTATCTTGTATAGATGATACATACAGTGACCATATAATTTATTGTCCAAGGTGGGTCACTTTTAGAATTAAAGGGACACTATTAATCATTGCAGAACTGGCCAAGCCAAAAGGAAGCCCACGTCATGGGTTGACTAGTTGTCTGAACTCGCTTAGTCTTACTGAAGAATAGAGAGGCTAAGAGGAACACGGCGGGGAGGGTTTCTTTGCATTAAAATAAGTCAGGGTCTAGACTCACATTGGAAGTCAGTGGAAGCCCTGCAAAGGTTCCAGAGGCAGGAGTGCCATGATCAGGCTGGGCTTCATTGGGAAGCAGCGTAAGTGGAATATATAGCAGATTTTAATACAGGTGGTGGCTGTGGAAATAAGGAGGGTACAGGTGAGAGGCGTGGAGTGGACAGAATCAAGGGGCTGATGATGAGGAACATGCTGGCTCAGGTCTACAAGGAGATGATGTTGCCTCTCTGTTCACTATTCTCTCCTTTCAGACTCCTTATTCTTTCCTCTGTTCTACGGGCTTGGCACTAAATATTCAAAACCCTCCCTTTAGAGTGGAGAGCAGGTTGTCAGTCTCAGACGCCATGAAATGCTGCTGCCCAAATGAAGAGCTGTGTGGGTGAGCAGCCAGCACAGGCGACCTCTCAAAGGGAATATTTTCTTACGTCACAGAAGCACACCTCGTGCGTAAAAGGAGTCATATATTAAACCCTGTTCCGCTTGACGGATCTTCCAGAAGTCTCCAGGTACTTCCTAGCTGAGATCTCTTCATCCTTCAAAGTAACAGTAAAAGGCAATGCAGTCTGGGAATTAAAACATTTCAAGATTTCTTATGCTGCCCTTTAAAAGCAGAGTTAGTTAGGTTTTAGATAAGAAAAAGTGAAAAGACATTATGTTATAAACCCTAAGCCGCATGATTAAAAACATTCTGAATGTGAATAAAAAAGCAAGCAAGTTACTCTTCTCTACTCCCCGGCCTCTACCCCACTCCCACCAAGTGGGAGACAAGTCCATTTCAGAACCTAACTGTTTTCCTGAAAAAATATTAGGTTTTTGCATTTCTAGTTAGAAGGGCAGGAAAACAACATCATAGATCATTTTGTTCGCTGATCAGACCAGAGCGTTATCATTTTGTTGTTTGTGCCAGCCTTGAGTATTTAGTTTTCAGACTTTTCTTGCTTTTCATGGACTAGGATACAGTAGCTTTTTTTTTTAAACTTTCTTGTTGCCCATCAAAGTGCTGAGGAGAGATTTTCAGAGTTGAGTTTATCCGCAGACCTGCAGACAGAAATCTCTTCTTAAAGTACGAACTACTGCACCAGACCTTAGGTAGATTTTTAAAAGACTAAGTATTCAGTTGTAATCGTCACATGCCTCAGAACAGCTCCTGGAAATATCATTTAATTGTAACAGTTTATGGCAGTCATTCACTCCTGAATCCATCACTAGGCGCCAGTCGTACTCAGGAGTAATTAATTCTCAGCCTGATGAAAGCTGCTGCCTCTCCTCTCTGGTAGGGAGTAGGTGTGTCTCTTTTCTGGGCTAGGAATACAGGTTTTAGGCAGTGCAAATGGGCAGCACAGGCAGGGAGGGAAAATAATATAAGCATACATCAAGACATCACAGAGACCTTGAAGTAAGTAACGGAGCATTTGAGAAGATACTAGATCTTTCAGTGAAATGAAATGTGTATGTTTAGAATATTTTGGGGAGATCTGAAGCCATTTCAACTTTAATCATAAAGCCACTGATTCCTTTGTAGAATGTGTTTAGGGCAAGCAAGTTTCAGGAAGAAAGAGAAGTTAGAAAATTATATGAAGAAACCAATGCAAAGCTGACAAACGCAAGATTGGTATATGGTCCAAATACAACTTTAAAATAATATTTCAGATAATTTCATTGAAAGAAAGCTTAAAATAATAAAGATGTGTAGGGATGTGAGCTTCACAGAACTTAGACCATAGCAGACTTAGACAACTAATGAGAAAAATAAGAGGATACAGGTTGGGGATAAATCATGCATGGAGTCAATGTTTAAAGGTCAAGACCAGGGAAGGCAAGCCCAGTGATGATGAGAAAGAGTTGGGGCATTTTTCCCCAGAGGAAACAAGAGATCGTATTCCTAAAGTGTCAAACTTCAGTTCAGAACCTTGAGAAAGGACAGAAATGGTAACATGAGGACCATGGAAGGAAGCTGGAAAATAATAATGTCTCCTCTATTTCCTTTCCATTCCTTTTAATTATTTTTTGGTGGGGGGAGGTAATTAGGCTCATTTATTTTTAGAGGAGACACTGGAGATTGAACCCAGGACCTCATGTATGCTAAGCATGAGCTCTACCACTTGAGATATACCTTCCCCACCAATTCCTGTATATCTTAAAGGTTGAAGCACAAATTGAAAAAGGCCAAATGGACTTGGAAAAAGAATGACTAAGTTGGAAGACTTCTCCTCCTGACTTTAAGTGAAACTATAAAGCTACAGTAGTGAAGACACTGTGGAATTGGCATCAAGATAAAGAAATAGAACAACGTAACAGAATAGAGCCCAGAAATGGACTCACATATATATGGTCAATTGGTTTTTCAACAACGGCACAAAGGGAAGAAAGAAGGATGATTTTTAAAAACTGCGCTTGAACAATTAGATATCCTTGTACAAAAAAAGGAGGAAAAAAGAAAAAAATTGATCAGTAAATCACACCATATATAAGAATTAACTCAAAATTTATGATAGGTCTAAATTCAAACACTAATTATATAAAATTTCTAAAAAGAAACATAGGGGGAAATCTTTTGTTACCTTATTTTTGCAAAAGATGTTTAAAACACAAGACACAAAAGCACAATCCATGAAGAGAAAGAAAAGATAAATTACACTTTCAAAAAATGAAGAACTTCTGTCTCGGAAAGACTGCTAAGAGAATGAAAAGATAAGCTACAGACAGGAAGAAAGTACTTGATCATGTATCTGATGAGCTTTTATTCAAATATATGTATACCTCTCAAAACTCCGTAATAATGCAACAACCAACCCAATGTAAAAACGAGCAAAATGATTGAACAGATGTTTCTTCAAAGAAGACACAAGATAGCAACTAAGCACATGAAAAGATTCTCAGCATCACGGTGAATGCAGATTAAAACTGAGTTACAGCACGATGACTACAGTTAATAATACCGTATTGTGTACTTGAAATTTGTTGAGTAGCTCTTAATGGTTCTTACTATTTGCCCACAAAATCATAACTATGCGAGGCGATGGATGTGTTAATTAACTTGATTGCAGTAATCGTCTCACAATTTACACATATATTAAATCATCACATTGTATATCTCAAAGAGAGACGTATGTCAGGGAAATAGGTAATCAAATTTTATGTAATTTTCTAAAAAAAGTAAAATCACAATGAGTTATGATTCTCATAAGCTCATTAGAGTGACGGAAATTGAGAAGTCAGATCACACCTAGTACTGACGAGGACATGGATAAGGACGGGGAAGAACTGGCGCTCTCACCCTCTGCTGATGGGCGTGCAACAACTGTAATTCGGGAAAACAGTTTGAGAGTTTCTTACTCATTCAGTCTTAAATATTTACCCCAGAGAAATGAAAGCAAAAATCCATAAAAGCTATATTTTCATAGAAGCTTTATCTATAACAGCCAAACAACACAAACGTCCATCAATAGATGGATAAATGAATTACGGTTTGCCAATTCAATGATGTACTATTCAGCAATACAAGGAGACGAACTGTTAATACATGCAACAGGATGGACACATTCGAAAATAATTATGCTGAGTGAAAGAAACCAAACAAAAAGAGTATGCTTTATACTATTTCATTTATAAAAAGTTTTGGAAATTGCTAACCAATCTCTAATGACAGACAGCAGATCAGTGGTTGCCTAAGAATGGCAGGAGCAGCAGGAAAGCTGGATTACCAAGGGTGTAAGGACATTTTAAGGGGTAACGGTTATCTTGATGGTGGTGATGGCTTCACGATGTATACATGCATCTATGTCATATATGCACATATATATGATGTATACATATCAACACTGAACAAACTGCAGACCTAAAATACTTGCAGTTTATCGTATGTTCTTTTTACTTCGATAAAACTGTTCTATTAAAGAGGGTAAAGGACTTTGGAGTTCTCTCTTCCTTAAAGTTTGATAGC